GCTTGGTGTCATCTGCAAACTTCCTGAGGGGATCCTACTTGTGGATCTGGGACTCACTGCTCAAACAGAATCATCCCCTGGCCACAAGAAGTTTAGTATTTCCAAAGCAGCTAAAAAAATATAGTTTTCTTCTTAAAAGCATGTAACTTGATATAAGCATATAACTATTTCTAAGCATGCAACTATTCCATCTGGAATATATTAGTTGAATATTCAACTGTAAACTCTTAAATAGTCAGACATAATTCTCTTTAGAAATGCACAAACATACAGAAAGATGCAACACTTACCAACTCTTCACAGTGAGTATGTTTTAAACGTTTAGCTATATCAAGTGGTGTCTCTCCCGATTCATTAGCTATATTACAGCAAGAAAAGAAAGTTATGATGATAGGCATCACTATTAACATGTCCATTACTAAAGATAAAGACATACCTGCAGGTACATAGTGAAGTACTAAACCAACACACTCTAAAATTAATCTCTTTCCTTCATATGTAGGTCCAACTCATACCAACCCTCTGAACATGAGAAGCAGTACCAACTCAACATGCCATATATATGGAATGATAGCTATGAGATGGCAGCATATAACTAGGCAACAAGATATCAGTTAAAAATCTTGATACTTGCTTATCCAAATTTGTTAAAAGAACCTAGTGTGATGTATAAGCCAATTTTAAACTTATAATAAACAGTGCATATTGATTTTTTTTAATAATTAAGATTACATTCACAGAATTATGATAAACAATTGAGGAGCACTTACTACACCTTCACGGTTTCTTCTCTGAAGCAGTGACAAACATGAAATTGAAGTACCCGCTATGTTTTTACCTATTTCAATAGAAGCCTTCCCTCTCAGCAGCAGTTTGAGGCACTCAACGTTGTCCGTCAGACAGCAGTAATGCAGGGCTGTGCTACCTTTACATGTCTGCTTATCTAGATTGCCACTATTGGGAGTACAAGAAAGAAGAAAGCTGATTAAACTGTGTTTCCTACCCTATATTAATAAACCTCTCTCATTACAAGATTTTCAAAGAATAAAATTACATTTGTAAATAACAGAATTAGTTTTAGTACTTGTGTTAATTTAGTATTTGTATTATTTAACATAAAAGCAGCTATCAGTAATATTTTAATAGTTTTAGATACACTTACCTGTTCTGCACCAAAAAGTCAACTATATGAAGGGATGTTCGATCAACTGACCTAACAGCAAGGTGAAGTGCTGTTTCGTCTTGCTCCTAAGAATAAAACATAAGAACACATTTAAACCGATCTACAGAGAAGCAGAAATTTTATTAAGACATAAATTAGATCAATTAAAACACTGAATTTCAAAATATTAAAACATGCTACCATTAAAATATCTCTTGTGAAGACTTTTATTGCTTCGCTTTCGTTCCTTTAAAATAAACAAACAAATCAGTTGAAAATTAATAATTATTGACTGATTTAATGTTTTAATACATTTTAATTATTATAGTATTTGGAAACAACTTTAGATTAAACTATCTAATACCTTCTTTTGTTATTGTTAAATTACATCATTAAAAGGATGAGTGTTCAGAGCAATGTCTCAAATCTTATTTTCGAATAAGAATAATAGTCCTTTTTAATTAATGAAATCGTATTGCACTTATAATAATTTGTCTAATAAAATAGACAACACTTACATGGCCATTGGCCAGTGGAATTTTTTCTGTGAGATCCACACCGTCAGCATATACTTGGACTAATCCAAGAATGTCTCTTGATTTCACTGCTTCACAAAGAGCATGTAATTTAGCTGCATTGTCAGCATACTTTTTCCTTGCATATTTTCTCTCAATATACTTGGCAGTAATATAATCTTTTCTTGCATTCCTGAAATTGAATATAATTTACTTCTGTAACTTTTAGCAGAAGATACATATTATAATTTCCATAAATACATGCAAGTCATTTGAAATAAAATCTGGGAAAGACTATTTCTCATTTATTATGATAATTTTTCTTTTTAAATATGCATGTAAGACATGCAGTCTTGTATTTCCAGTATGAAAGGTAGCTACAGAAGATGAATTAAATATCCAATATGAAGACAGACCATGAATTTCCCCCTCTGAACTCTGGTGTGAAGTTGAGATGAAGATTGCCCAACTCTGTACAGGAGATACATCAAAGCTTCATAGAGCTGGTTTGCTAACAGCAGCCTGGCAGGTTTACGTTGACTTGTACTCCTGTACATGCTGAAAAGGGACGGAAGGCATGGGACACAAAAACCTGTCTTGTACCTCTGCACAGACTAGCCAGGCCTTAGATCTGTATTCACAGCACTGAGCACGTCCTGTAAAGCAGCTCTTCACCACAACTCTAACAGCCAGGATGTAGTGGAGTTTTTAGTTTCACCTCGAAACCGAGGTGAAAAGTTATCACACTTGAATCAGCCCGAGTTGTTTTGTCTTTTGCTATTGACACCCAACTAACAAATGACTACTCCTCTTCCCACCACAGCAGACAGGAGCTTGCACACCTCCCAAAGGCATAACTCCTTACTAGCTCTTGGGATGTACACAACATTGCACAGAAGACATTTAGCAAAGCCATATTTTATCATCTAGATACTACATAATTAGCAAAAGAAAAAAAAAAATTCCAAATAATAATGAGTTGAATCAATGGATAGCTCTTGTCCCTAAAGCACATGACAGTATTCCTTCCTAGTTTTTAAAAAGTGCTTGTCTTCAGGTTCTCATTTCATTAAAAAACCCCAAATTTGGTATGTAGATGTATCAAATTATTTTTTAAAATAACATTTTTAAAAAAGTCTTCTTATGCTATTGATTTAGCATTCAGTAAAATTATTAGTAATTTTAATTATTAATATGAATATTCTGTATTATTACTCATAGTAGTAGTCAAAAATAATTTAAACTGCCTGGCTTAATGTTGATTCTGTCAGAAAGGTGAAAGTACAGATAATCTAAAATCAGCTTAATCCAAAGTAAATTCTTCTGGGTTTGTTTCTGTATCATTTACTAGCTCTTTTACAATGGATTAGCATCCAGCCAAGTAGGCAGCTGTCCTTGCTGTGTCTCTGCCATCACAGTTCAGTGTTTTCGAGGAATTCAATTAAATGTTCTGTCTTTATTCCACATAGTTATGGCCTTAAGTCCCAGATGTAGTTTGTAAACACTAGGTGTTCAGTATCTTTCAGGTAAAATGTGTACCTTATTCCAATTTCTATTTTGTGTTTAAACAGCACAAAATTAATAGTTTTGTTTTTAATCCCTACCCTTGTGTGTCTTTAAAATTCCCAACAAGTCATGTTTAATTTGTTTCTGTCCCACAAATCATGATTCAGAGACTTGGTAAAATAATTCCTCCTATTAGGGAAGGTACAATCAGATAAAGTTCCATAAAGCAGACATGCAAAGCACCAGAAAAAAGGTTTACTCCTTGGCTATAAGGCTATACCTAAGACATTATATACCTTGCATGGCCTGCTGTTGCAAACCATAATGGCACAACCCGATGAGCAACACTAAATTAAATGCCTGCCTTTTTCAGAGTAGTGTCTCTTTACTTACATATCGCTGTTTGGGTTAGGTTTGACCATCTCATCAACTGGCAGACAGAATTCCATAATCTCATTAAATGCAGCATTCCCAATATTCTTTGCAAGCTGTTAGGAAAAAAATAACCCACAGCTCACTTAATAAACATGTTCAGTTATTGGCCACACACATACTAATGCAAGGACAATGGAAAATGGCAGTTGGGACTTTTTGTTTCTGATTCCTAGTTCTGCTACTGTGTCTGTGATCATGAACAGATGAGGTACCTTTCTGGTTATCAGTCTGTAGCTGCAGTTTAATACATAAACAAGTAACTGCAGAATAATCCATCAAGACACCAGTTCATACAATAAATGCAAAATACTTTGTGGTGGATATGAACACACATAGGAACTGTCACAGAGCAGCTGATACATGGTAACATCTTTGTGTAGCAAAGCTGAATACATTTTCTTCCTTTGAGGATTAAAGTTCCCTTCTAAAATAATGATAAATAATTAATGGGTAAGTATTTTGAAGTCCTTCAATTTTTAATCTGAGAGACACATTCATATGTCAAACAGCTGTGTTCTTTTAAAAAGCAACCAAGGGTAAAAAGACTTGGAATTACAAAAAAATATGAAGCCGCTACAAATTTGAATTCTAAGATCAGAAAAAGTTCACACTAAGACACTATGTTCCAGGAGGTTCCCTCAAACTTGAAGAATTAAGCTTTCTTAAATTATGTTTATCCAGAGGCAACTTTCAAGACTGCAACAACATATCGTTGTTGATATGTTGTGATAAAAATATATACTCGGGTTGTAAGTATTTTATGGTACTATTTTGAAGTTAATAAAAGCAATTTGATTACCAAAAGTTCAGATGTTCCCAGCACATCTAATGTAAGTGATTGCATTCTGGAATAGTGAACACCAAGTTCTCTATGGATTCCTGAGCATTCAATGCAAGTCAGAATTCCCAAATTTGTTGAAAGCCAGGTAGGATCTGAAAAAGAAAGTACCCACAGAATTAAAATTTATTCAGGTAATTATTTCATTCTAGAAAATGTAGTATATGAAAATGAAATTCTGTAAAATAAGACTCCTGTACATTAATTACCAGGTTTTTATATTTATGTCTTTACATTTACTCTATTGGGAAACACAAACCAGGTTTTTTTAGTGGCTAAAGAAGTGGAGATTAATTTAATTTTTTTTTTTTTGTACATGACATTGCCCTCCAAGGGAGCTGCTCAAACAGTCCAGTTTGTCATTCCCTACAGGGCTTTCAGGAAGTGCATTCTTCTACCAACAATATAATGGTGTCACATTCTCAACTGAGGTTATGGGTGCAGTTCAAACTGAAGCGACAATGCCTACAGGTTGCTTTATCTATTTCTTTCTTTATTTCAAGTATAGACTCTAGACTAAGTGAAGTAGCAGTGATTCTGAAGTACACACACAGCACCACACAACAATGGATTCTCACTCAACTATTTCCAAGATAATCTCTCCTTTCATTACCCTTGCTTGTCTTTTCTCCTGGTATTTTGCATTCCTAAATTCCTGCTATAACATTTCCTCATCTTCCAGATAAATAATTAATTTCCAAAGATTTAGACAGTTTAGAAATTCATTTATTTGATAAAGGTTTGGTAGTAGCTATTTAGAATATTCTTCTTTAAAGACATCAGCAGTGACTCCTCCCATAGTTTTCTGCAGAATCTATTGCTGGAAGTTACTGTTGATTTCTAAAGTGCATACACCTTCACATCTGATGCCTTCAGCTACAGTTTCTATTTAAAAAAAAAAAAAAAAAAAAAAAATCTAAGTCCTGAAGTGCCTCTGTAGCATAAAAGAACAGAGGAAACAGCAGGATTTAAAAAATAATTTGAAGAGGCTTTAAGTAGAAAATCATCGATCAAAAAAACCAACACTGCAAACCATAGTGAGCAGGGGCATCCTCTGCCAAATGAGCAGTCTCAGGCATATTCCCTGGCTCACTCTCGAAGTCAAACATTAAAAGGCTGGGGTTTTTTTTTTAAAAAAGGGTATATTAGGGAAATGCTTGAAGTAACTTACTGCTGTCCAGTTTTACCAAACTCTTACATAAAATATGGGCTCATACAATAAGTTCAATTGATTTACATAAGCAAAAGTTAGGATTAGCAAAATACATGGGAGAAAAATAAGCTGCTTCGTAACTTTTCTCCCCATTGACAACCTGCGCATAGCAAACCAACCTTACAAAAGCAGTGCAATTACATTATCAGCATATTCTACTATGTGTACAATCTTTGTGAGATAAGGAGTAAAAGCGAAAGCATACAACATCAGTTTAAATACTCTCGTGAGACGAAGAATTTTTACCATCTAGAAATATGCTTAATAGAATCACCTTGTGCTCCACAGTCACAACACACATCATTTCCAGTCATCCTCTGGACTTCAGATATAATTTCTTTTGTCAGTTCCTGGACAATATTATTTTCTCCTGTGTTATCATCTCCTTTGAATGCATTATTTAAAGCTTCCTCTTTGCTGTTTTGTAGCACAGATGTCCATCTAAAATGGCAGTAATATTTTGCTATTAGATGTTTCAGCACTTCTAAAGTTCAAGGTAACGTCTCAGTTGAACACCAGTATGAGAAATAAAATTACCAAAGTAACTCACATTTGACATTCCTGTTCATCCTCTGCTTGAAAGTGGTACGTCCTGTCGTCTGCACAATAAATAATTCATATACTGATTAAAAAAAATGATTGAAAAACTGATTTTGCAGAAATCTCTCAGAAAAATCTAGAATTAATTAATGCATGTCTCCTGAGGTCTCTAGTCTCATTGCTGGAGTGTTGACAGGCAAAAAGTCTATTTGGCAGCTTTCACTCATACTACCTATAGTTAATCCATGTTTATACCTATGGTGGCTTGTTGCTCTTTAAACAGAAACTGTTTTCCTCAGTGCTCTGCTTCTATCACATAAGCAGCAGGAGAGTATAGTAATTTTTTTTTATAGTTCCAGATATAACCTCAGTAATCACAAGTCTAAAGTGCTGGGTGGTGGTGGTGCGTGTGACTAAAATACAGAGTCCATATCTGAGTTTATCTGTGTATATAAGAAAGACGTGAAGGTTCCAAATGAACTCTTAAAACAAAAGTAATAAATAATTACAAAACATATTTGACAGACACAAACTACAATCAGGATAAGCCCCAAGCTATTTCAATTAAATCAAGCTAAAAAATTTTCATTTATTACTACTTCCATAATTCTAAGCACTGTTATCACAGTGTACTTACTATTAAAGAAAAAAGCATGATATGTTTTAAAACTATGAAACAATTGAGAGTTGATACAGTTTGGTGATTGAGCTGGACTTAAAATTAGTATAGTTGATGAGAAGAACAGAGGTAAAGCTACTGGTAGAAAGATATTCTAGGCTGAAAATTCCTAAAGTTTGAAAAATACTCAAGTAAAAAGGTATTAGAAGATACTTTCAAACACGGAAAATGTTAAGAGATAGAGGATACATGAAAGGACAGAAAGGAAAGTGCCAGCCAAAGAATAAGAGGTTTTTATCTTGCTATGATACAGCAATTTGCATTTTTTTAAAAAACAAGGAATGTTTTAAAACTCTATAGTAAAACAAAGTTAAAAAGTGATCCGGAGAAGACTGAGGCCCGTTATGCCTTGTCATATGTATGATGGGATAAATGATAATGTTGTGATAAGCTGATATTGGACAAAATGTGACACAAGAATCAACAAAGAAAGAAAATGCAAAAATAAACAGGGAAGACCACTTGCTTGTGCAGAAATGGAGAAGCTGTATATTGCACACATGAGTACTAGTCTACTAATGTAAGTAGCATATCTTACATTTATAAATAGAAAATAACTTTATGCTCTGACAAAGAAACAAATGAGGAATAGATTTATATTCTTCTCCCCAAAATATGAGATATATGTTTCAGTAATGTATTTTTATTCAGCCCACAAATACAATAAAATGTCCCAGTGAGAAAACAAAGGAAACGTTCTACTATGCAATTTTGTATCATCCCATTCAGTTCCCAAAATTACTCAGTTTTGGTGTTTTTAATATGAAGACTCTTTATCTCACCTTTATATCTATTACAAGATAAAAAAAACTAAAAATGTTTTCAGTATTTTCTTCACAGTTACAATGCAACCACTATGCTTAAATTTTAAGTTTTTTCATGTTTTAAAAGCTCCTTCTAATCTTGTACAAAAGACTTTTCAAGATGATCAGCTATGACATTTTCAATATAAAGCTAGCAATATATACTGAAATATATTTATAGTATATATTTATATTGAAATATATTTTGCTAATAGCAAAATATATTTCAATATAAAACATAAATATTGTTATTCTGTTGTAAGGCAGCACAAAATGATAGAGAATTGTAATAGTTTCACTGGACAAGAATGAAGGAGTAAAGATCATTTTAAAAACAAGTGGTTTTCCAAAGAAACAGGTACAGTTAGTTGCATTATGCTAAAATAAGTGAAATGGCAAACTGTCATAGGAAGGGCATTTTGTAAAGAGAAGGATTCTACAATTGTGAAAATGGTTAAGTGGATTATCGACACATCTACAGAAATAATGCAAAACCCTTTGATATTAATTGCAAGTAAAAAGACCTAAACAACAAACCTACGTGATATGAGGTCAAAACATTTTTTCTCCTCTGGGTTTGTTTTCACTTGGCAGGTTAAGAGATTGAGCTTTGCTGGAGGTCGGTTAGCCTATTTGAAGATAAAGCACACACATTTTAGTATACTGATACTGGCTCAGCCCTGAAGTCCAAAAACACAGGATAACATCCCACTGCCAAAAAGACTTGACAAATGGCTGTTACTTTAATTTCTAAGGTACCCACGTTTTGATTTATGCTTTCTTCTGCATCATGGTTTGTAAAATACATTTTTTTGTATTTGGCTATTTTATTCACTGATAACTGGAGAGACACTAGAATTTTGAAAGAGGAGAGGGGTAAAATCACTTTAATTATCACTACTCTAATCAGTAGAGTTACCAGTAACAGTTATCTAAAGGAATCAGGTATGACAAAGAGACAGATTGATTTTACATAAATTTAATCCTCTAACATTTAGAAATTTAGGTTAAAAAAATTAGTTGTCTAAGTTTTCAATAATGAAACAATTTGACTCCTGCTAATATCTTTAAAGAGAAGAGAGAACCAGCTTAGAACAAATGCTCAATTTTTAAATCACTAAAGGGACACATTGAAGGAAAATAAGAAATTTGCACAGAGAAGTCTTGCAACAAACATATGCAAAACTAAATGCTTTCCTAAAAGCAAAATGCACAAGCAAACTTCATTATGAAAAAGTCTCATAAAGGCTACAAAGACTGGTCAAATAGCACCTTTGTGCTAATCTCTTTTTTTCCCTTAATCCACCTGTCCTACAGATCTTGGGAAGGACCTAGTAAAACGTTATGTTTGCAACCCTGACTTGAGGAATGGCTTGGACTTGCTACAGTGGACAACTAGTTTCACTTTTCTTTTAGAATAATTAAATCAGAAAGTAGATTAGTTAACTAGAGAGGCTCTGCTCTAGACAATAATATCTGAAAAATAATAATTTGTTTCAATAATTAGGAAAGTACTATTATAACGATAGAAATATACATAAACACATTACCACACTTACTGTTGTGTGCTAACAATTTTAATCTATCAAGTTGCGAGAACAAGATTTAATCATCTAAACAAGAACTATTATCAAATGAAGCTGAACTACCACATAATGTAATTAACTTACAATGAATCATAAGTAACATACATCTTCTCAATCTCTTCTAAATTTACTGATGAAAACATTTCATTCAAAAAAGAAGGGAGAACAACTCCGAAGAGTACATATTTCCTTGACACAATCTGATAAAATGATGTAGCTGGCCAAAAAAGATCACCATCATCATAATGTCTGAAGACAAGTAAAAAAAATCAAAACCATGGAAAAACATAGGAAGGGAACAATTACTTTTTTTTCCCCCTGTTAAAAAGAAAAAAAAAAAAAAAAAAAAACAGCACAGTGTCCTTGAAAAACAGCATGTTCATGCTTTGCCCAACATAAGCAGCAGACATAACAAAGTCAAGCATGCCTTGAAATAACAAGCCTGCAGGTCACTTGCTGGACAATGTAAAACAACTTATACCCAAGAGAGGTTTTGGAGGAAGAAAGATGACAATTAATTGACAACCACATTGTATTCTCTGTCTCATAAATATCTTTTAAAAATCCAGACATTCCTTTTAGTAGTAAAAGTGCATACAGTTTTCATCATTTTAGCCTATCAACAACAAGAGTTCTTTGTAACTACAAACATACGAGAAAATATCTTGAAAATGCCAACTTGGACCCATTTTCTTGGTTGTATTTAAATATATTTAATGTCCATAGCACTAAAATTCACAGTGTTTACATTTTAAATGTAACTGTTTGTCCAAGAAGTGTCCAGAAGTTGCCTATTGACAAAATACAAAATAAAATACAAAAAAATAATACAAAAAAAAAAATCATCAAAATATAAGTACCTGGACAACAAAATACAAAATAAAATACAAAAAAAAATACAAAAAAAATAAAAAAAATCATCAAAATATAAGTACCTGGACAACAAGCCACTGGGCAACTTATATGTACCTTTCTCACAGGCTCTATGAGAATGTAAAAATGTGAGTAAATTCAAGTTAAGAAAGAATCCACTTGCCCCAGGATTTTGGATCTGAAGCGCGTTCAGAACCTAACTAGTTTTCTATAACTTACGAAATATGAAGTTGTGAATGGATCCACTAAAATGTTTCAGAGAGGTCTGAAGGACCAATATACACAGAACTTGCCTCCCTGGATAGGAGAATGCAGTGCAAGAACTCAATATCAGGATCTGAGAAGCCAAAGAAATGTCTGCAACAACCCAAAACATATCCTGGGCCAATGTGCTGATCTTAAGAGTCCAGATATACTCCAAAGCTTTTAAGGCAGGACCTCCTAACCTGAAGTCAGCATTAACATTATTAAAAAACCCTGACATCTTCCCGTGTGGCTGATACCACCACATCCTCCTTTCGGCCCTTCTTGTAGATGGGCACCAAATTAGCAAGCCTCCAGTCTTCTGGGACCTCCCCTGATTGTCAACAACTGTTGATAAATGATGGAGAGTGATTTGGCAAGTTCCTCTGACAATTTCCTCAGTACTCTTGGATGGATCCTGTCTGGC